CCCGTGCTGTCCCTGTCCTGGGAGTGTTTGATGGGGGACAGTGTAGAAGAAGCTTTACTCTGTATCTAACCCCGTGCTGTCCCTGTCCTGGGAGTGTTTGACTGGTTGGTAAAATTCTGTAAAACTGACCTGTCTTGGCATGTCTCTCTCTCTCTCTCTGCAGCAAGTTACAGGAACTGGAGAAACAGAATGAGTCTCTGAAGCTGGAGGTTGAGAAACTCAAGGAGGAGGTGCAGACGAAGGTGCAAAAGGGTAAGAACCATTTGAGCTTTTGCCAGTGGGGCCTTGTTCTGGTTGAGAATTACCAAGGCGAAGGGGGAACTCCCTGCCCCAGATTCCTCATGTCAGCCATCAGATCCACGCCATTCACCCACTCCCGTCTCCTGTAGACAGGAAAAGCAACTTGAGGTTTCATGAGAAAGGACGTTTTTTTTTTTGTTTCCTCCAAATCAGGGTATTGCAGGGAGAGCTGAGGTATGCATCCCTAGAGTTAGTGTTTGACGCACATACCAAGTCACAGATGGTATACAGGGAGGCCATTCATTCCAATGTGTCTGCACCGAGTCTGCAAATGAGCCACTTTCTTGATACCAGTTGCCTGCCACTTCAACACGTTACCCTGTTACCCTGGCCAATATCTCTGTCTCAGGCTTGCTGCAGTGCACCAGCGAAGCTCAAAGCAAGCTGGAAGAACAGCACCTCGTTTTCCGCTTGGGGACCCTACAGCCTCAATATTGAGTTCAACAACTTTAGGGCTTGAGCTCTCTCATGTCCTGACCCCAGACCTTGCTATTACACACACAAGTTCTGAGGAAGGGTCACCGGACCCGAAACGTTAACTCTGTTTTCTCGACAGATGCTGCCAGACCTGCTGAGCTTTTCCAGCAATTTCTGATTTCCAGCATCTGCGGTTCTTTCAGTTTTTAACTCTGTGCCAATCCTCCTGCTTTCTCCTTCCAGCCCTGCGCATGTTCTTCCTCTCAGATAAGAATCTAACTCCTTTCTAAATGCCTTGATTGTGCAGCCCAAGAGTGTGATTCAAACTACATCCTAACCACTCGCTATGTGAGAGAGATTTTTCCTTCTGTCTCCAATGCTTCTTTTGCCAATTACTTTTAAATCTGTGCGCGGTCTTCGTCATCATCTACTCTGCCCAGATTATTCCTGTTGACAAACACCTCTGTTAAATCCCCTCTTGGCTTTGTTCAGGGAGACCAGCACCCCACACCGTTCCCCCCTCGATCTCTCCTGACTATCCACACAAGTAAAGCTCCTCAACCCTGGAAGTATTCTTGTTAATCTTTTCCGCACCCTGTTTAAAGCCTGCACACCCTTCCCAAGGGGTACTCAAGTTGAGACCAAACCAGGGTTTTCGGCTTTGAACCAGTTGGATTGTGGAGGTTAAAGAGACGGGGAATGAAGGAATGGAAATCCACAGGGGAATTCGGTCACTGATTGGGAAACCAGCAGGGACTGAGTCGGGCTGAATGGCCTGCAAGCACCTGGTGGAACGTGATGTACCCAGTGCACGTTCACACCTCGGCCACAACTGGTTCAC